TTATGAATCGGTCAACATAGTCAGATAAAAAATTATCTACACTATAATCTGCTTTGGGTATTATATCCAGACTGTGAACGGCGGTCTAGGCCACAGAACTACAAAGTAGGTCTCACATTCGGTGGTTATGACTGAGGCGTTGGGGAAAAACCACGCCTTGTCTGATGGGTAACGAATGCATGTAGCATCAGTCTGAAACTTAGACTGGCAGCACTGGACTGTACAACAACGGCCACAACTATCAAAATCGCTGGAATTCAATCGGCAAACACAAAGCTAGCGAACTACCAAGCGCCCCCATCCACAATAATAAGTAGTTAAGGCTATCCAGTCCACTGCTTAACATGACAATTCAAACGTCGGCTTCGACAATGTCCACCGCGTACTTCAGCGGGCCAAAGAGAACGGGGTGAGTTGCGTGTGATTAGACGTGCTGCATCTACCACACTGTCGCTTCCCTCACCCGCCGTATCCGGTTTCAGGACAGAGTTAATAAAACCGCAAGCAGGATCGGGCGCGTTTTTTAACATAAAAATACGACAAAACCAAATATTGATGTTCAAATAAGGGATCTGCCTTCGAAACATCAACATCGAGCTACTTAAGTATCTTCAAAGTCACGTTCTATCAGACAGGTGTCCAGACAGTACCCCGTAAAATGGGCCAAAACGAGAGTGATAACTATTTAAAGAAATCATAGAGGGCTTACCTCCTGATAGACGCATAAAAAGTGGTCAAGTTGTGCAGGATGAGAGCGGCAGTCAGACGGATATGCTTTGTAACCGGCCCTTCACGAGCTGTGCTAAGGAAGTCGGCTCGTACTGACTGACGGAAGCGTTCTGCTGAGACAACCGGTGTGGATGCCACGGATTGCATTTTCGTATGGGTGACGGGGGATGGCGCCGACGATGAGGCTGGAGCCAAAAATCCCCTCCGAGGTAATGACTTGGGGGGATCGGGCTGAGCACCGGGAGTAGGAGATGCAGAACAGACGGCGGCGGTGGTCGCACTTGTCATCGACGTCGAGGCGGAGGATGTCTGTGTTGCACTGAC